GTGTTGCGGAGCACGCATTCCCGCTGACAGCTTAGCCAATCTCCCCCAAAAGGGGCGGCCAGGGGACACTACCCAGCATGCAAAGTTGAGGTGACCGAAGCGTGAATTGACTCTGGCCAAGGGTGACCTTCTTGAGGGGAAGAAGTTGCAGAATTAATTTTTTAAGTGCTGCTAGCCTCTCCCTTGGTAGGCGGGATGTCTGTGCAATAGTGTCCAATTCAATACCCAAAATAGGTTATGGTCAAAACTGGACCCTCTGTTTTGTCCGCCACCAAAGGTACCGCAAGCTCGTCAGCCAGGGAGGTGAGGTGAAAGCCTCTAAAAGAGAAGCGCAATCAGGGCTATTCCCAATGATGGAGGGGGGGAGTTATTGAGGTAATGGATCACCCCTTCAGAACCAGTTCTAAAGCGAAGAGCCCAGTCCAAAATTGCACTAAATGACTCAAAGGCTGCACAAGCTACTGAGCACCCTATCGGCATAGATTTGTCTATGGAATAAGCCCCCTCAAATCTAAAACCTGGCCATAGAAATTCCTCAGGGTGATTGGCAGGAGACGGAAAGCCAACTCAATGTCGCACTTAGCCAAGAGCGCCCCCCTGCTGAACCTGCGCATAAGCAAAGCAAGGAGTGAAACGCTAACCAATTCTCCACCGCCCCAATTGCAAACGCTGCCGACACAGACGCCAAATAAAGAGACGTTCCCTGAGCACTACGCTCTTTCAAAGACCAGATAAGCCCTCAAGCTCTAAATCAGCTGGCTGGCGCTGGGCTGGCTTGTAGCAGTGCAGCCCCTTATCTATCGCTACCAACGTGCGGGTTGGATGTATTTAACTGGTCAAAATTCTGAACAAAGCCACAACCCAGATATGAAAGCTCCCGCAGCTGCCGCTCTCAATACATTACCCAACTCCTTGACCGTTGTGGGGAAAACCTGCGGCGTCTTCTGCAAAGCAGCCTCTTTCTGGCGAAAGGACCTACGAGAATAAAGCCCAACCCTTGCGCCGCGAGTGATTTCAGCCCGACAAAAAGGTTGTGATTGAAGCAGAGCTCAGGCTCCACGCGAATCGCACAGACTAGGAAGGAGAAGGAAATAAGTTTCCTTCAGTGATTTCAGCTCAAATTGAAGAATAGTAGCTGCAGCTTCGCTCCTGCAAGGCTAGCGCTTGCTGTTCTGAAGCTCCACGTGGCAGAAGAAATGCTCCGACGACAACGGGATCAGCTGGCGAAAACGTGGGGCTAGCCGGCAAGAGAGGACGAGCCCGGTCGCGCCGGTCCTAAATAGGGCAGGCCCCGCCCCCCCAGCCACCCGATTGGCTGGCTGGGGCGAACGATGCGGCCGGGATTCCCCTGCTCTCGCGGGGGCTGAAACCAGCCCCCGCTCACGTGGGGTGGGCGTGAAGCCCGCAACCCCACCTCCTGCTCAGGTTCGGAAGTGGCTTTGTGGGCTGATTCACACACGTGTGCAACCTCACATCTTTCCCCAATACTTGCTGAGTGGAAGCTTAGTGTGCTAACCGAACTCCGTGGAAAGTGAGAATCACGATAGGAGTGTAGAAAACTATGCATGAAGGAAGTGGACAGAGAAAACTCCCCCCCCCCCCATGACACTAGAACTCGTGGACATCCAATGAAACTTTGGGCAGTTCAGGACAGAGAAAAGAAAGTACTTTTCCCACACAGCACATAGTTAAACTATGGAACTCTCTGCCACAGGAGGCAGTGATGGCCACCAACTTGGATGGCTTGAGAAGAGGATTAGACCAATTCATGGAGGAGAAGACTATCATGGGCTACTAACCCTGATGGTTATGTTCTTTCTCCTCAGTCCGAAGCAGTATGAATACCAGTTGTTGGAAACTGAAGGCGGGAAGAGTGCTGCTGTTTCGCCTCAGGTTGGTCACTGTGAGGACAGGATGCTAGAGTAGATGGGCCACTGGCCTGATCCAACAGGCTTTTCTTGTCAGGTCTGAGATGATTTGAGGCAGAGCTGGCTCCATCATTAGGTAGAGTGAGGTAGCTGCCTCAGGCGGCCATTGCTGAGGACATTGGGGGACAGCAGCTGTTTGGAGCAGCGTGCAAGTAGAAACCGGGTGCTGGAGGACAGAGCTGTGTGTCTGTGCCCCCTAAGTCTGCTGTCCTCAGCTGAAATAGAAGAACTTGTCTTGCTGCCAGCAGTGAATTAGATGGCAACTGCCAGCCCAGTTGGCTTCTGTAGCTGTAACTGTGCCATCTTGTTTTTCACCTCAGGATGCGAAATTTCTTAAGCCAGTCTAAATATGATGCAGTGTAAAATCTCTGCCTGTTAGATGTATTTAAATAGGCCTATACGTCTTAAATAAACGTATTTAAGACCGTCTATTCCAGGGGTCGGCAAGGTTTACTTCGCCTGGGCCGGTTCACTCCAGCAGAGATCCCGCTGTGGGCTGGATTGCGCTTGCGCTGCCGCGATTTCTGGCGTCTTCATCTGCGCAGACACGATTTTCAGCGCTGCAGAAGCGAGTCCTCACTCCACGCTGCACCAGTTTTGCGCAGTGTGGGGGACTCGCCGAGTGGGCGGCTCGGTTCAGGGGCGGCTCGTGGGCCGGTTAAATGATCCCTCGTGGGCCGCTTGTGGCCCATGGGCCTTAGGTCGCCTATCGCTGGTCTATTCACACATTCCACCCATCCCTTGTGGCAAGTTCAGACTTATCTCAGTGGAGACAAAAGATAATATTTCAGGTTTGAGGGATGTAAATTTTTCTAGAATGTTATGCCCGGTTTGTTTGCACACAGGTTGCTGAGCTGGCAGTGTATGAACTTGAGAAGAAATAACATAAGAAGTTATAGTGAAATATTGTCCGCATTTATGGATTATGTTGTGAATTAAATACAAATGGGGAAGTTTAAGTATTTATGGTTAACAAATTGTATGTATTGATCCAACGATTATGCTTTGGTTTAGATCTTATGGAATTATTTTATTGATGAGCATGTTATATACAATTTAGCTTTTTGTCTGTCTCTTTGTTTTACCATGCAAAGTACCTCTTTTACTCAACTGGAATTCTGGTTTGATATGTGTCCTGTACTGATATAAATGTGCAATTTTAAGACTGGATCCACCCAGTGGCAAATAATACTGATTACACAGATGGCTGATGTGGTACCCTTCAGATATTGCTGGACAAGGGCTTGTATCATCTGTGAGCATTGCTTATGAAGGCTGGGGTTGATGGGAGTTGTAGTCCAAAAGCAGCGGAAAGGAAGTACATTGGCTACCTCTGCTGTACAAGGTAGGTTCTTAGGATTATAACTAGATAATGCATATGGCATGGTTAGAACACCTGAAAGTTGTATACAAATTGTATTATTATGATTATTAGCCATTGACGACTTCAGTATGTGGAACTGGCACTTTTTACAAGTGTCATATCATACTTTTCCCGCTCTTCTGTACTTTTAGTGTGGCAGCCCCTATTCTTTGGAATTCCCTGCCTATTGTTAGTACACAGGTGCCTTTGCTGTACTGTTTCCAATGCCTGCTAAGACATTTTGTTTAGGCAACCCTACATGCAATTTCATTATGTATATTTGTTTTCAAACTGCTGCTTTTATTTGTATTTTGATAAGTTTATGACAGCTTCAACATTTGATTTTTATTGGTATTCTTTCATTTTTAATATATTATTTTATGCAAACTGCTTAGAGGTCTTCGTTGATTAGGCAGTATATATCTTGTTAAATATTTTTAAATTTTATACAAGAACATTTCCCCTATCAATGGAACTGTCTCCTGATCCAACTAATCAGTGGAAATTAGAACATGCAGATATTTCCATATTACTACCAGCATATCATCTAACCCAAGATAAAATCCCTGCCCTGTGACCTGTCTTGAATTTTAATTAATTGATTTTGGCTCTGGAGGATTTCTGTTGAAGTTTCAAAAGACACACTGCAGCAACAGATTTTGGGTGTGTTCCATTCATTCTCTGAGTAAGCTGCAATATGTTTTCAGAATGTCGCTTGCTTAATGTTAAAATGTATTGCACATACTAATTAAGGAAAATAATTTTCAGAAGATCTGAGCACATTTGATCTAGTAACATAACTGCTGTGAAGTGCATCTCACTTCTCCAAACATTTTCCTCTTTCAACAAGTCTTCCAAGTGGAGATTTTTATCCCAGTCAATATTTATATTGGTTATGAAACTCTCTCTCTCTCTCTCTCTCTCTCTCTCTCTCTCTCTCTCGTTTTAACTGTTTTTGTACATGTAATGGTTTTTAATGGTTTTTGTAATTGTTTATTGTATCAGGATATCATGTTAAGAAGCATCATAGGAAGCGATTCATAAATTAAGCAACAAATAATGAACACGAATAGCTAAGCTACAGTAATAGAAAATTCCCACAACAATTTTTTAAAGCATAGGTTAAGCCCTCTCCCCACAACTTGGTGACCAGCAGCCAATTTGATTTCTGCTGGTTTTACACTGGAATTGACAATTTCTAGATTTTAGGGTTTTTTTAAATGTTCTGGTTTTGCCCATTGTCTATGGGTTCTGAATAGTGCTAGAGACTGATGAGCATTTTAATAATAATAATAATAATAATAATAATAATAATTTGCAAAGGGAACAGATTCTTCCATTAGTACTGGTGCTGCCTTTACTTTTAAAAAATAATCTTATTAATGTGCCACATGCTTTATTATTTATTTGTTTGTTTGTTACATTTATATACCATCTTTTCTTCCAAGGAGCTCAAGCTGGTGCACATAGTTCTTCTCCTCCCCATTTCATCCTCCCAGCAACCCTGTGAGGTAGGCTAGGCTGAGAGATGGTGACTGGTGCAAAGTCACCCAATGAGTTTCATGGCTGAATGGGGATTTGAACCCTGGTCTCCCAGGTCATAGTCCAACACTCTAACCATTACACCACACATAGAATCATAGAATTGTAGAGCTGGAAGGGACCATATGGGTTATCTATGTCCAATCCCTTGCAGTGCAGGAATCTTTTGTCCAACGTAGGGCTCGAACCCACAGCCCTGAGATTAAGAGTCTCATGCTCTACCGACTGAGCTATCCTATGGAGATGGTGTTCCCTAGTTCTTTAATCTCTAGGTTCGTCTTCCAAAGCAACTACTCTATTCGGAACTTAAAAATGGAAAGCGTAATGCTGGTGGTCAACAAAAGAGGTTTAAAGACTGTCTCAAGGCAAATCTAAAAATATGTAGTATAAACACTGACAACTGGGAAGCACTGGCCTGCGAGCGCTCCAGTTGGAGAACAGCCTTTACCAAAGGTGTCATGGGCTTTGAAGACACTCAAACTCAGGACGCAAGGGAGAAACGTGCTAAGAGGAAGGCACACTTGGCAAATCCACACCCTGATCAACTCCCGCCCGGAAACCAATGTCCCCACTGTGGAAGGACGTGTGGATCCAGAATTGGCCTCCACAGTCACTTACGGACTCATTGTTTAAACCGTGTTTATGGAAGACAATCTTACTTGGCTACGAGTGATTGCCAAAGAAGAGAAGAAGAATTTCTGCAAATGGTGAGACCGACATAGCCATTTCTAGAACATTTGGCAGATGGCTGAACCTGGTATGTGAAAAGAACAGTGCTCGCTATTTAGCAATAAAATATTTCTAGATAAAGGAAAATGCTTTCAATGGATAGGTTCGTTAGTTTGCCATAATCAGAAGTGTCAGTTTTCCACGCCACCTTGGCACTTGCGAAAGTAGGTCAGTTGAAATGCTAGTCTATGTTTTCCTATATCAAGGATGGCTAGCCTGTTTTGGGCTGAGGGCCACATTGGCTCATGGCCAATGCACCAGGGGCCATGTGTGAAAAGTGAGTGTGGCCATTTTATTTTTTTTAATGGGAAGTCTTGAGGGATGATGAAACCTTTTGGTGTCACATAAACACTGTGGGGGACCCAAGGGAGTGGTCCTAAAAATGAAGTAAAAAATCAGTTAAGAGTTGCATCTAGGCCTACTCAGAACAGACCCATTGAAATAAATGGACACGACTAACATAGATCTATTAATATAAATAAATCTTCTCTGAGTAAGGCTTTGTTGAATATAACCTAATGGGTTTACTCTGACAGGACATAGTTGGATTTAGCTCTTTTTTTAAAAGCCAACTTTTGGAGAACCACAATTCATATCACAGTGAACTACCTATAGGAACAGTCAGTAAAAAACAATAATTTTAAAATGTAAAAAATAATGATTTTGGAAGAGCTAAATTTGGGGGGCTAGGGGGTGCACAAAAATGTTATTTGCTGTCATGGCACCATAGCAGGGAATCCACTTTTTAAAAAAGCATTATTTGTGTGTTTGACAAATTTTGGGGGAACCACAAAAATGGTTTTATGGGGCATCTATAGAAGCAGTCAGAAAAAAATGTATTTTTTCTGAAGGGCCAAATTTGGGGCATCTGAGGAGCACAAAAAGTTTTTTGGCATCAGGGTGTTTCAGTTTTAATAGTAGGCTCCAACCCTAATATCACAGAAAATATAGCCTAGTTCCTTGCTGTACTGCCATCAATACTAGATCACAATTCTTAAAGGGAAGATGAGTTCTGAGTCAAATGATCTGTATTTATGGATTGTCTTATGTTTTCATTTTTAAAGGCCCAAATTGTGTGCATATTGTATTTTCTTTTCTCGGCTATGGTCTTCTTGATAACCCTACGATTTATTTGATCTGTGTGGTCTGTAGACCAAACAAACTGAAACTATTGCTGATATGGGGAGTAATTACTGCATGTGGGTTGAAAACTAGAAAAAAAGAATAGCTTTGAAGAGAATTGACTCGAAGTGGTTTAAATGAAGTTTCCCTTCCTGTGGTGCACAAACATTTTCCCTCCCTCTTTTTCCTTCTGCACAACAGGTTTTACAGGGATTCACTTATGTGAAGTGAAAGTTGTATGAGTGTACACACTTCTTTCCGAACCGCTTTCGGCAGCCTGCAAAAAGTAGAAAGCCTTATTTTAGGGCTCCAGTCAATGGGGGAACAAAGTTACCCAGTTACCATAGGAATAGAATCCTATGTAAATGGTTGCTGCTGTTCTTTTTTAGGACTCTTTAGATGACAAAGATAAACAAATCTTTTGGCCATTATCTAGATGTCTAGGCTATTCAGACTGTGCCCAGCCCCTGGGACTGAGAGTAAAGATTTACAGCATCCATTAAGAAGATTCAAAAGGAAAAACAATAGCAGCTGCCCAGTCAGGGTGGGGGTGTTGGGGGCTAAATTCTTGCTGGGAATGTGCCGTGTGCCCTCTGTTTATGACACTCACCCTGAATTACAATGCAAGACACACACACAGCGCTAATTCTCTACCTTGCTACATTGCTTTTGCTCCCAAAGTCAGCCAATTTGTGTACGGACAAGAATAAAAAGTGCATTGGAATGCATTAGGTTTATTGCAGACCCAAACAATGCTTTGAGCAAAGCTGCTTTTAAGCGCGTTTTATTAGAAATGTGTTTTTTAACTGTGCTTAGGGAGTCCATTGCCAGGCTACAAATGATGTGTCTCTGCGGTTTTATTTATTCCTTGCGAAGAGGCTGTAGTCTTGTGTGCGTGTGCGTGTTTTACTGCAACATGCTTTTTCTTCAATTAATCATTTTGATTTCCTCACGCTGTGCATATGTCATTTTTCCTTGCAGTGTTAAGACTTTATCAAGTATCTATCTTGTAGTGTTTAATAAATCATTTGTTGGTTGTACGTAGTACAGGGTCCTTCAAGTGAGTATTAGAACATTGAGTTGCTGCTACATTACTTTCTTTTGACACTTCGGCTTTTTCACTTATGGGCTGTAACTCAAAGGCTGAGACAGCTGCTGCAAAAATAGAAGGCAGCATCTAATCGCCTAACATTTGTTTCAATAGTCATACAAACTTCAGCTAATCATATTATTTATCATCATTTCTTCTGTTTTTGAGAAAATAGAGGAAAGTGTGAGTACCAACGATAGGAGAGGATGGAGGGGGGGGGCTGGGGATAATAAATACAAGCAGTAAAATATAAGCTGAAGATGACAGAGGAGTTATAGGAGGTGATATAATACACCCCGAGTTTATATTCCTTAGTTTACAGTCAGTGCAAAGGACTCCAAATCTCTCATTAAAATGTCCTTAATCCATCTGATAGGCTGCTCAAAGCCTCATAACTCTGCTTTTGCCAATTGCCTTTCTCTTTAGAGCCTTACCGAGTGGCTTGCCGAGGCAGAGAATCTCTTCCCCTCAGTTATCGCTGCTGGGGCAATAATTTAATGATTTGTATGTTTCTGTTTGGAAGATTTCTCACCCACCTTTCACCATAGGGTCCCAGGGTGGGTTTCAACACTGTACTATATACAATTATGAAAACAGATAAAACTGTTGCAATTATAAAAAAATACATAAAACCTCTCCAGCCAGAACAGTAAAAATATGTATATCAGGCCAAATTGTAGAGAAAAAAATGTGTGTATTAAGGGAAAGAGGCACTGAAATGCTGCTAAATTTCCACGATGACCTTAAAAAGAAGACGCAAACTGGTGTGGAAATGGGAAAAATCTGAACGTGAAATTGGAAAAACGAGAAACTGAGATAAATGAAAATTCCTTTCCTAAAGGTAGGGATGGTTTTGGACCATGTAAGGAAAGGGTATGGATTTTAGTCGGCATTCAGACTAAGTGCTCCTTCGTTGCAGACGTTTGAATTTTCTCATTGCTGTGTCATAGTATCACACAAACCAGCTTTGCAGCATTAAACAAAGAACCACTTTATAAGGGGAACTTTGTGGTGTCAGAAGCTGCATGATTGTGGGGCTTCCTATTGTCTCTGCCAGAGTCACCAGCCTCCAAGCCCTGCCTAGAAGGGATGTGATGCCAGCAAATCTACAGGCCTGATGTGACCTAAGAGGACACTTGAGTCTTGGGTGGCCAGAGGTTGGAGGAGGGAGCAGATATTGGGTGTGCTGGGATTGGAGGAAGTGGGAGGGAACCCCCCCCCCCAGTGTACTGCCTCACCAGAGCACACCAGAGGTGGGGAATTCAGCTCTTGCAAGGGACAATGTAGGAAGTATGGCCCAGCAGGGCTCTTTGATGATGTCCAGCCAGTAGCCCAGGAAAGAGATACCAGAACTAGGGGGCTTGACTAATAGCAATAATGATGAAGTGGACCTATGGATGGGTGAATTAGGGAGTTTCAGTTTCTCTTAAATTCAATTCTCTACATTTTCAATGAAAATCCACCAGCATTTAGTGTGGATTTTTGCTACTATATACATTTTATATGCACTTTGGCCTAATATTCATACTTTGCAAGCAATTTCCTCCAATTTAATGTATTTTAATGTTATTTTCACTAACATATGCATTTATATCCACATGTTACCCTAGTATATATAGGGACACGGGTGGCGCTGTGGGTTAAACCACAGAGCCTAGGACTTGCCGATCAGAAGGTCGGTGGTTCGAATCCCCACGAGGGGGTGAGCTCCTGTTGCTTGGTCCCTGCTCCTGCCCACCTAGCAGTTCAAAAGCACATCAAAGTGCAAATAGATAAACAGGTACCGCTCCAGTGAGAAGGTAAACGGCGTTTCTGTGCGCTGCTCTGGTTCGCCAAAAGTGGCTTAGTCATGCTGACCACATGACCTGGAAGCTGTTCGGCAGCTCCCTCGGCCAATAAAGCGAGATGAGCGGCGCAACTCCAGAGTCGGCCATGACTGGACCTAATGGGGGTCCCTTTGCCTTTTTACCCTAATATATACATTTCTATATACACTGACTGGCTGGAGAACTACATTGCACAATTTGGAGAAGCATGAATCTCAAAGAATGGCTGTGGTTTGGTTTGTGTATTGCTTTGTAAAGTTCTATTGCAATATATCATTGATGCAATAATATAGGATTAGTAGTGAATTTAGTTGTTCTGTGATGCTTCCTTAGCATTGCTGCAGTATGGCCCTGTGGAGGTGCACTCTTGCACTGCAATGCAACAACAGCAGGGCGGGAGACCCAGAACATGGTATAAAAAGTTATAGGAGTTCAGCAGGAAATTACGGAGTATGCAAACAAAGTAGTA